GTTTCTGTCTGCTAATCAAATAACACCACAGCTCTAACAAAGATTAATCTGTATTTAACTTGTGCAGTGAGCACTATTGTGTTAAACTTATTTATTATTATTTCTGCACCTAAATTCTGATATTTGTAACTGTGATTTGTTGTTTTCATCTATGCTTGTAATTTGTGTAATTGTTCTTGTTTTAATACTAACTTTATTAGTTAAGCTAGTAGTTTTTTTCTATGGTATAGAAGTACTTAAATTATTTTTTATTTTTTTGCTGATCCAAAAAAATGATCCGATCCCCGACTCAAAATCCGTATATGATTCGAACCGTGAATTTTGTGATCCGTTGCACCACTACTAAACAGTTAAAGAACTATAAAAATTATGTTTGCGCTTGAGGGCGACACACTTGACTGCAGAACACACTTTAAATTAATTCTCCCTATTCACTAAAAGACAATTATGGCCATCTTTTCTTTCTAGACATTTAAAAACAGACAGGCTTCTTTACATATAAAAAGATGTTGTCCACATTTAATGTTTTTTTTGTTTGTTGGACGTTGAGAGGCTATGAGAGGGTAATTGGGCGCAGATCAAGGTGGACATCCACTGGTGATCTGGAATTCGGTCTTATGTCTCACTGGGTGGGTGATATCCTGCACTACCGGCCCTTACGGTAAAAACGATTCTGCAGTGTATCCCAGTAAACAAGAGTAAATTTCCATACCAGGCCACTGCTCATCACCAGCTCCAATTGTCCAATAAACAGAAACTTAATAATTGTTCCTGGCAGGGGGGCAGCACCAGCCACTATTGACCCGGTGTGTCATTTATGAGGCAGCCAGGCGGCGTTCAGTACTTCCTGACTGTCTAGGGTGGGTTGTTTCCTTGGCACTTTGAGTGAGACAGACGGGAACATACAGTGTGTTGCCAGACAAATACAATTTTCTCCCCCATTCACTTCTTTCATAAATACAAAAATGAGCCAGGGGTTTGCTTTGCCATTTCCTAAGCTTGAGTTTGCTTAAAAGGATACGTCACCCAAAAATGCAAATTCTATCATCATTTACTCACTTTCATGTTGTTTTGACCCAATACATTTTTTTTTCCAAGGCAGAAATTAAGATGTTGTTCATAAAATCTCAGACATTAGTGTCCCTCCACTGAAAGTCCATTACACCAAAACTTGACATTATAAAAGTAATCAATATAAATGGACTAGTAACCCTTATTTGCTTTAAGCACAAGAATAAAGCTTATTGGTTCTTGCATGATACACAAGAACAAACCTCATTGGTTCTTGTGCATCAAGCAGGCATGTTTGAGCTTCATTTACCATATTTGATGTGCTCCATGTATGTGTGTTGATCCTATTTATATGTGAATAAAAGCCTAAATTAAATCTGTTCTTCATATAAAGCGATCATCTCTCTTCAGAAGACTTGTTTGTTTTTGTTACAATATCTTTATGAACTCTGTGAAGCACTGAAGATCTGGCGTAATGGTCTTTCAATGGAGAAACAGAAAACTGTCACATTTCAGTAAAAACATTCATTTGTTTCATTGCTAAATTAAAGTCTTTAGAGTTTGGAATGATGTGAGAGTAAGTAAATGGTGACAAATTTCAGTTTTGAGTGAACTATCCCTTTACTTTGCACTACACACATTTGCAGACTTGCGAAATTCTCTGAAACTTGATTGTACACCTATTACAGGACTATTATTCTGAAAATAAACATATTAGGGAAACTCAAATGTGTGTTAACTGCGGTATTGCTGCATGCAGCTGACAACACAAGCCTCAACAAGTTCATGGGCACCTGAAGCATGATGGAGCAGACAGTATGACGTCAAAGTTGTTACACAATTTTAAACCTGTTACCAGGATTTGGGACACAATCTGAGTGCCCATGAATGAGTGTGCAGGACCTTAGTTAAAAATGATAGTGATTTTATCAGTGCCATAAAACAATACTAAAAGGGTATGACATTCTTTTATAGGCAAAATATCCACAGGAAGAGAAAAAAAATAATTTAGAGAACACCTGCTCCTGATATGAAACAAAATATTATGTGAGTGCATGTTAAAGTCTGTTGCAAAAAAGGCAAAAAGGAGCAGCAACTCTTACCACATCACTGGCACTAGAGAAGTCATTGTTAAGCAAACTCTCCAAAGCCATCCAGCGAACGGGTCGGTTCTCATTGTCTCCGAGGCAGTGGTAGTCCATGGGGAAGAGATCACGGGCCAGCGCATTGTCTGTGATCTTCACTTGCATACTGTTATCAATTCTACAAAAATAAATTAATTAATAAAAATCTTCAGATATAAGACGTCTAAACAAAATATACATGCTAATCCGTTTACATGTTAATGCAAACAGACGGTAAAGAATGCATAGAGAGAGAATAAATAAATAAATAAATACAAATTAAATGCTTTACGGTCAAATCAGTATTTCATTTGTTTATTTATTTGGCAATGACCAATGACATAAATGGGATAACGCACATCTGATTAGTCATTATCATAATAATTGCAATAATGACTATTAGACTGTACGTTATCTTTTTTTTTAATAGCCAATGCCAATATGTAACACTTGGTGCAGCTGTATACTCCTGTGTGAAGGACAGCTGATGTAAAATGGTAAATAGTGGGAGAACTTGAGGTCAAATGGCACTTACACACAGTTTCTGGCAGCCAGGTCTTTGTGAATAACCTCCCTCCGTGACAGATAGCTCATCCCACATGAAATCTGTATTGCCATGTGGACCAGGTCTTGTTGAGAGATGGCCTTTGTGGGTAAAACAAGAGAGAGTGGACAAAATTATTATGTGACCAAGAAGACATTGTAAGGGTCACTGGGAGTCTAAGAAATGTAGTACATTTTAATGTACTAGGCCCAGCAAGAGAAACCAAAAGCAGGACACATGACGAGTGGGTACACAGATGCTCGTGGTTACGGTTCACCTCTTAGGAAACCAGACTTGATGGAGCAACAAGTTCCTCTGTTGAATCTCATCTGGTATGAAGAGTTTGACGTCTGATGTAATGACAGTTACCTCACTAAACATAAACATCCTCTGCACCTAGATGCAAAGCCAAACACTAACGCTTTAACTCTTTAGAGGGAGTGGCTCAACTTCAGGCATCCTTGTGTAATCTATCTAGAGTCAGATACAACAAGAAAGCCTGGGTGCTAACTGACAAGGTCATAATCTTCTCTAAATGAAAGGCTTTTCAGATGAACTATACACAAGGCTTTAGAACAAAATAATTGCAGTGTATGACAAACTCGGGTGTCACATGAGTTTGATGGTGCATGCTCATTCCTGTTTGTTCAGTGTGAATTTGGTTAGAGTGATTTAGACTGAAAGAGAGAATGTAGTACATGTAGCAGGTAGGGATGGGTCAATGAGAGTGTCTAGTAAATCTCAACCTTTTCTTTTTAGCTGTCATGCCTTAAGGGGGATCAATTTAGACACGTAACTTCTCTGAGAGGGTGCTTTAGTGTGCCAACAGTCTAACAGCAAGTGTATGACGGTCAACACGCTAAACCCCTCTTTGAGAAGTCAAGACTCTAATTTATTCCTCTTTGCAAATCACTTGAAAGCAATGATTTAGTTTCATTTAGAAATGCACAGATATTAAAATACTAATAAGCTGATAATTATTTTACGACCAATACTCAATAAATGGCCAATATTACAGTGTAAAGTAAAAAAAATAAAAATAAAATGCTAAAAAAACAAAAAAACAAGTGAATTTAAGCATCACATTTTTTAATGTACAATATGGAAAATATTCATTTGACTGTAAAGGTAATCTATATACATTTATAAACAGAAGAAAAACATGTATAATTAAATATACAACACTTTTCTTTTTAGCTGTCATGCCTTAAGGGGGATCAATTTAGACACGTAACTTCTCTGAGAGGGTGCTTTAGTGTGCCAACAGTCTAACAGCAAGTGTATGACGGTCAACACGCTAAACCCCTCTTTGAGAAGTCAAGACTCTAATTTATTCCTCTTTGCAAATCACTTGAAAGCAATGATTTAGTTTCATTTAGAAATGCACAGATATTAAAATACTAATAAGCTGATAATTATTTTACGACCAATACTCAATAAATGGCCAATATTACAGTGTAAAGTAAAAAAAATAAAAATAAAATGCTAAAAAAACAAAAAAACAAGTGAATTTAAGCATCACATTTTTTAAATGTACAATATGGAAAATATTCATTTGACTGTAAAGGTAATCTATATACATTTATAAACAGAAGAAAAACATGTATAATTAAATATACAACACTTGCTGATATACAATAGTTTAAAAGTCTATTCTCACCATGGCTGTGTTTATTCAATCAGAAATACAGTAATATTGTGGAATATTAGTATAATTTAAATAGACTGTTTTCTGTTGTAACATTTTAAATTGTAATTTCTTCTTGTGATGGCAAAGCTGAATTACTCCACATTTCTGATTGGTCATGTATATATAACACAATACAGAACAACCCCAATACATCATGCATAGTTTATGCAGAAAATCTATACCCCATTTATTTGATTCCTCTGCATTCAAGCATTCAGTCATTTATATTTATTTATTTTATTAAATGCTGGTCTATGTGCAGACAAACATTTTAGTCGATATATGTTGTGCTTCCCTAGGGTGTTAACTTTTTCAAACGGGTCTCAAAATTCTTGCATACTGCTCCATTCAGTCTGGCTCCGTCAAGCTGTTTGATCAGCATCTGGTGGACAGGGTACAAGACCCTAAACCAGCCTAATTATACAGTGCTTCCTTAAGACTGACTAGTCATTCACACAGAACCATTTTTAAAAGTATGTCGTTTTGCACACCCTTAGAAGGCAGCAAACAGACATACATCTAAGATTCAGTTCAGGTGAGAGGTGAAAATTTTGGCAGTAAAAACTACAATAAATCATCCACTTTCAATGTCCAAAATGCAGGGTGTTATCTAAAGCATGGGTAGTTTACATAACTTATGTTTTATAAAAAAAAACAATTGTGCATTGAGGCAGGAAGTATAACAACACTGTCACAACAAGCTTGGTCTTGAAGAGGAAAAACTGATAGCTTAAAGCACCCAGCTAACCATTTTAAGAACTGGTCTGGTCATTTTACACTGGTCTGACTGATCGAATATAGAGCATGTAATCTTGTCTTTGAAGCGGGTTCAGTGGCAGCTGAATGAAAGACCGCCCAGGGTTAACATCACAAAGGCTTGATTGTGAACAGTACACCACCGTAAAGCACCTATCATAGAAAGATCACTCGATGTTGATTGAGGATCTGCACAATGAATTCACTGTTCAGAAAAAAGCAATTAAATCAGGATAATCTGAATACTCCAGGTGTTCTGCTGGAGGGTCTCTAATATAAACACCTGCCTCAGAATGATTTATGGCTAACACTAGGAGTGTCATTGCGCTACTTAATATTAGCTGAATTTACACTACTCAAGTAACACTCCAAAGAGAACGTAAAACTTGAATTCGCATCATATGACCCCTTTAATATCAGGAAAATGATTCTGAATGAAGATGAAGTGATATTAAATATTATGTAAAATGATACAAAATAAAGATGACCAGGATTACAAAATTAGTATTCAGTTTAAAATTAAATTTTCATTGCAGTTCATGTCAACAGTATATTTATTTTGTTCGTTTTTTTTTTGTTTTTTTTTAGATTGAATAGGTTTCAGTAGTATTCAGTAGTTCTCATCAATAAATAGATAACCAATGGCCAATAATTGGCTGATATTAAAATTCAATATTTTTTCTAAATAAAATTAAAAACAAAAACGCCACAAGTGAATTTAGGCAATACAATTTTATTTTATTTAACTTTTCAACAATGACAACAATTAGTTTTTTTTTTTAAGATCAACTTTACACTTAAGACTCACTTCAAAGTTACTTTAAATATAAATTACTGATAAATACTAATAATTTAGTAATATCTGTTGATAATAGATAACCAATGTGGTACCGGTAGGCCTATATATTAGTATATCATAAACGCCCAGGCCTTGGATCCAGAACTGGATTTGCTCAGATCTTTTGTCAGACAGCCCACACCAGAGAACAACTAGTCGCTGGATTTGTGAAGTTAATTTTAGTGATCCATTTACACTACAGTTTTGTGGCCATCATATTGGTGTCACAAAATTCAAACATTACACACCATGCTTCCACTGTGGACAGGGTAATGTACCCATCAAGAAAGTATGGTAATTTATATTTATATACACAAGCATATTATGTCATCATTCTCAAAACCTCTAATCAGTTTGTGTGTTTGATGACGTTACAGGGATTTTTTGTTAAGTTACTTCCACAGATATTCCCTACTCAGTATGTAAGAAACAGAGCTCCCTGCGATTCAAAACACATCTATGACAAGCTTTGTTCATATATGAAAGGATTTGTTTAAAGGTGAAGTGTGTAATTTCTGCACCACTAGCATCGGAATAATTAAAATGAACACTCTGTGAGAGAATATATATATATATATCTATATATATATATATATACACACACATACATACACACATATATACATAGCAAATATAAAACCAATGATTCTGTACAAAACTCACGGTTTCTATAAAGGGAGAATGATATGGCAGATTGTGCAAAAGATGAAGTTCTTCAAGCGTCAAGAAAGCAGCACATGGTGGCTGTAACTCACCTGTGGTGAAGGCCCCGTAGTTTACAGCTTTCTGTAAGCATCATGGTCACCTGTACCTCTGAGGCGTGATCTGCAAGGCAAAATGCAAGAACAAAGTGTCAGGGATGTGTGTCGCAAACCTGGACAACCCAATCGTGAGGGAAACCTGACAGAATCAACTGACAAAGTCTTCTCATCTCTCCACACACCAATCAAAATAAGAAAGTGAACCCTCAAATATCTGGAAATAGCCAGATCCTAAATGTCAAGCAGCACTAAAGAATAGGAGGAAATGTTTGAACATTTTGTCAAATTTAAAAGATTGTATCATTATTTCATTTTTTATTATTTCATTTAACTCATATCATACTCTTTCTGCTTTTTTCAGTTACAATGAACAGGGACTATAACTTTCGAAAATAATGCAAAGGTAAAAAAGGTAATAAAAAAATGTAGATTGTTCCACACACAATGCTTTCACATGGCATATGAACTACTTTTATGATGTATTTGTCAGCATTTTTGGAGCCCCAGTACTCATTTACATTCATTATAAAGAAAAAGATAGCCAGGATAATCTTAGATGCACCATGAGTTCCAAAGAAGAAAGCCATACACGTTTGTAATGAAATGTGGGTATGCAAATACCCATTTTTGTGTGAACTATCCATTTAAAAGAACATTAAATCAAGTGAACATTCTGTTGGATTTTATTTGATCTGTTTTGCCCCGTCAGGCAAGTCCTTGTTAGTAAAAGGTGCATGCAGGTCCTGAACAACCCTCCACCTTGCACTTGAGAAAGTTTGATTGCTCTAAAAACAGCCTAATGCCTTTCAGCCAGTCTCTCAGATTGCTGGTTGAGTGAACACATTTAGAATTAGTTCACAGAGGTCTGGCTTAATCTTGGAGAACAGCTTTTGACGGATGCTTGGAGTGTATGGTTTCCTGTCCCTTGTGCAAGGGCCGGGGTGGAAACCGAACAGCTTGGCCCAGCAGAGGCTGGTACAGTGGCATTGTCTGGTGGTTGGCACCAGTCCTGCGCTGGGCAAACAAGGCACAAGGGCAAATGAAGGGGTGAGCAGTGTGACGGGAAGTGCTGAAGTTTCTCATGGCATTTGCATTTTCTAAAGAAACATCAGTTTCATTCTTGTATTATGAACTTTGGAACTTCACAACGAGGCTCATTATCACAAACAATCCCTCATGATTTTCCTGAGAAAACAGTTCTTTTTAATCCTGTTGGGAAAGTTATTTTAAATGGTTCATTTTAGAAAACTGTACTCAAGGGAGGCATCAAATGAGAGTTAAAAGAGAGGATTTACCTTTCACTGCTTTCACAAAGACTTGTTTCTCTTTGCTTGGGTCCTTCTCGTCAAGCAAGACTCCATGAAAAATGCGGCCAAAGGTCCCTGAGGATCAAAAAAAAAAAAAAAAGTCACTAAGAAAACAGCTGACATTATGAAATCTCGGTATCTCAGTTAATAGAAATATACACAGACTGTCTCACATAATAAATGAATCAGTCTCAATGAATCTGTTTCAATGAACAGTGTTAGGGTTAGAGGACCGGATTATCATTTATATTTTTCAAATATCAATCATGAAAAGAACAAATATCTATCTTGCTATATGTAATCTACTTCTAGTTTCAGTGCATATTTGGGATAAAACAACATGCCAACTTTTGCATGGTGAAAAGCACAGCAGGTATCAACAGGTATCCTGGATGACCTAAAAAAAAAAATGGTTAACAACTTTTTTTTTGTTCTGTGCTTCACACATAGCTATCGTATGATTTTACAAGACTTTGAACCACTTGCTTATTTTGTCATTTCAGAGCTTGACAGCCCTCATTTCTCATTTACCCTTATAATATGGAAAATGGCAGCAAGTATATTCTTCAAAAAAATTTTTGTTGCACAGATGAAAAGGTAATACGATTTGGGACAACAAAAGGGTAAACAGAACATTTTTCATTTTTGAGTAAAAGGAGCCACACTCTTGTGTTTTTGACCTTGGTATTACCACATAGCAATTGCATCAAATATTTAATAAGTAAAAGAACTTTGAAATTTGCACTTCAAATAAAGGCCATTCAAATAAAACATTAAGCTGGTCATTTAAAAAACACACACACACACACACACACACAAAAGCAAATGTCCCTTCAAAAAAAAAAAAAAATGATAATAATAATAATCTGACATTTCCCTAAATGTCCAATAAAATTGGTTTAATCAGATTAACCAGCTTTAGTTTGCCAAGTCAGCACTTAAAACACAGTTTCTTATAAATAATAAATCAGCTTCATCAAGCTTGTGGCCACACGTACATGATGAAAGTCTCACTAATGGAAAAAAGATGCTACAGAGGGGAATTACTGCCCTGAGATTTTGCAAGAACGCAAGTCAAATAAAGCGGGTTCTTGACGCAGAATTTTGTTTATGTTGTATAGCTTATGTGACTAATGACATTTGTGTCAACATCTTCTGTGCAAGCCTAAAGCTGTGCTGGCTCAAGGCCCAGCAGAGCGCTTTTCTGTTTGGACTCCAATTAAGTGCTTGAGTGCAGATTTCCCGCTGGAGCACAGCTCTTGTGTGATCCAACAAAATTATTTTGCAGGGGGAAGTGTCTAACCTCAAGCTGAGTGGGCAAATGACGCTGACGCATTTGTTTGCCATGATGCAATTTCAGTTGAACTAGCCGTTCAAAAGAACCACTATTAGAAAGATATGTGTCAGTGGCACTGAGATAGACACGGCTACTAAGAATCGAGTCTTTCAAAAGCAGTATTAACTTGCTGTGGTTTCCATGTGTGTCTATGAGGCTTGTGGGATTAGATACCTTCATGTAAGACGTCTCGTAGTGTGACTCTCTCTCTGGAGATGGCGATGTCTTTGACCTTTGCCTTGGCCTCAAGGAGAGTGACACTTCTCAAGTCATTCTTCTCAATCCGCAGCGAGGGATAACCTGAAAACAGACACACACACACACACACACAAATGCTGGATTAAAATAAGTGTTAATAATTCACATTAGAACTAATTAAAAGCCTGTCTAATAACAGACTAATCAAAACAAAGACGATTCATGGAATGAAAGAGGTTTGCAGTGTTATTTTGACAACTGGAAGTATTTAGACACTTCATCAATGAAGTAAAAACCCCAGCTTTGCCAAAGGCAAATACTGCAGCGTCACTCTTGCAGAACATGTTTTGGTGTTTAACTGATTTTATCTCACAGTTATACACAGTTAATTGTATTAGATGTTTAGAGAAAGCTGTGTTTTATTCTGTCATTTAGCTGCAGTGTACTTTAAAATACACAAGCCAAATACACATAAAAAAAAAACATGTCAACATGTACTGTGAGCACAAATACCAGTACATAAGGCTGTTTAAATTTGGTTGTGTCTCATGCATGTGTTGTTTTTAGGTCTGAATAATTTCCCTGTTTATAATCAATACTTCACTGTGCCTTGTGGTAACATTATATTAGTGTTTATATAAATACAGTTGATAACTGTAAAGCCGCTTTGACACAATCAGTATTGTATATAAGCACTTTATATAAATAAAGGTGACTTGATTATGAATACAAAACCAAATGTAAATATCACTTTTCACTAACAATACAACTAGCCAGTGTTCTGATTGATTTAGACTAAATTTCTCTACTCATACTAAATGTGCATGATGCTGCCCCCAAGTGGTTATTATAGGTAACTAATGTGAAACTGCTAACATTCCCGAGTCAAATCTACACAGTCCTCATAATCTGTAAAATAAAAAGACAAATGTATCAACAGTTTTTATAAAAGTTAAGCAGTATAGTTTTTAAAACTCATCATAATAAGACATGTTTCCTGAGCACCAGATCTGCATTTTAGAATGATTTCTGGACACTGGAGTAATGGCTGCTAAAAAAAATAAAATAATTGCCATCACAGGAAAAAATTACATTTTAAAATACATTAAAAGAGAAAACAGTTATTTTAAATTGTAATAATATTTCAAACTATTACTATTTTACTGTATTTTTTATTAAATAAATGCAGTCTTGGGGAGCATGAGAGACTCCTTTTAAAAACATTCCAAACTCGTTGTAATCTTTTGTAATGATACATTTTTCTACGTTAGTGTAGGCAAAAGTGAAGTGAAGTGACGTGTGGCCAAGTATGGTGACCCATACTCGGAATTAGTGCTCTGCATTTACCCATCCAAAGTGCACACACACAGCAGTGAACACACTGTTGAACAAACCGTGAACACACACCCGGAGCAGTGGGCAGCCATTTATGCTGCGGCGCCCGGGGAGCAGTTGGGGTTCGGTGCCTTGCTCAAGGGCACCTCAGTCGTGGTATTGAAGGTGGGAGAGAGTGCTGTACATTCACTCTCCCCACCTACAATCCCTGCCGGTATGAGACTCGAACCCACAACCTTTGGGTTATGAGTCCGACTCTCTAACCATTAGGCCACGACTTCCCCAAGGTGCAGTCGACGGTAGACATTGATTTTCATAGCATTTTTTTTCCAGACTATGGTAAGTAAACTGTTTGGTTACCCACATTCTTCAACTCATACAGGTTTGGAACAACATGAGGGTGAGTAAATGATGATAGAATTTTCCTTTTTGGGTGAACTAATTTACCATGGCTATCTGATTTACCTTCTTGTCATGCAAACGAGAACACGTCTTTGTGCTGTGCATCACTGTGATACAGTGTAAACCAATGAACAAGCTCAGTGAAGACCAATAAAAACAAAAAAAATGGTGATGGTGAAGAAGAAACCAGGTTAAAGGTAGAAGGTTAATGCACACGATTAAGTCATGATTCCCGGTTGCTCTCTCTATCTGCTACACAGCAGCAGAACTTACTTTTGGTTTCATGCGAGGGGGCACCAGGGTGAGGGAAGGAGGCGCCTGCAAGCTGGAGCATGGGTGCAGAGCCAGTATGAGCATCTGATAGAAGAAGGAAGAGGTGGAGGGAGGGAGGAGGAGTGAGAGAGAAAAAAAGAAAGATGGAGAGAGGTATATGAAGGATGAATAATCATAGCAGGCAGATGGTGCCTGAGCTATTCCACACACAAGAAGAGTGAGACAAGAAAACACATGGTATAAGAATGAAACAGACTAGTGCACCAAGCATGTAAGACCACTAGGAGGCACTACACACCATGTAAGTACACAGCCTGGGCAAAATGGAGCGGACATCTCCAAGATCAACTATCCACACTGGTTTATGAAAATAACTTGCAACTTTACAACATGATTGTCTCTGATGGACAGTATTTGCTAAGGCTGGCCTTAAATATTGCGCAAATCTGTTAACACCAAGATTACTAAACATTTTAAAGTACTTAGCTGCAAAAATTGCTTACTATTGAGTATGTTCCGCATCTGATGAAGAAGTTACTTCTAGACCATTCTATATGCAGGGATGTATGTATGAAAACAATTTGGATATATAACATTAGTAATGTTGGAATTGTTATGTTACCGACATCAGCTACTTTGCAGTTTCCTGCCATTTGCTAATATAGCAACTTCTGTCCTGGGGCATAATTTTGCTTACCTTTTTTTAACAATGCTGTGTATTTGGACATTTTACTAATTTGACATTGCTTTTCTCATACTGTACAGGAGGGAAGTAGTCATTTTCAGATGTAGGGAGTGACACCAGCTTAAAATGAAAATACATTTCTTGGCTGAGTCAAGTGATGTTTGCTCTAAATAAAAAAAAAAACATTGTACCATTTGACATTTCCATATCTAATTAAAAGCCACAGAGACATTTATTTCGTGACTTAACTGTCTAAATATTTTCTGGGGCCACTGTGAATATAAGACCCACGGAATCACCTGGTAAACTTCAACTAATTGGAAGTTGAAGGGAGGTTAACTTCCTGTTGATTTGGTCTTATTTGCGTCCTAAGTTGGAAAAGAAGTGGCCAGCTTCTCGTGGTGGAAAAAAAAGGGAAAAAAAGACAACAACCTAAGTGTGAAGAAACGGCTCTAAGATGGCACTAGCGAATGACAGTGAAGGATTGAGCAAATACCACGAGACCAACATATGACTTTTGTACTATTGTGAGGGGACCTGACAATTTCATAAGTACGCATACACAAGAAACATTTGTACTTATTGCGATCACACAAAAACAATGAATGCTGGTTAAATAACCTTATGGACAAAAATGTGGAGGGGGAATGTGTTTGTCTGTTTATTCCAACCTTCTGATTCCAGTTTAGCTAATTTAATCATTTGTTTCCAATTTTCTCATTTATAAAGGAATGCACATTTGGTGTATACACGACAAGACAAAAAGCAGCCAGAGGTGTGAAATTTAGAACAATTTAACAAGCTGCTGTCTTAGCCATGGGGAGCAAAGCATCCTGGTGATGTTTATCTGCTCTTTGAGCTACTTCTCCTGGTGGAGAGACAGGTTTCTGACTGGTTTCTGGTTTCATTTTAAACATGGAAGAGGAGTGCAGATGGTTATGGCAGATGGTTGAGATGTTTGAGAGAGTCGCTGATCTGAGGTCAGGGGTGAGAGACATGGTCTGGTCGTAGTCTTACTGGTGACAGGTGTAGCGTTGTTGGGGGTGTCTGCCCTCAGGTACTGGGTGGTCTGGGTGGACGGCTGAGACAGACCCTGAGAGCTTCCACTGTCGCTAACGCTAAAAGATTTAGAGAGAGGAAATTAATTAATTTAGGAATTGAAATGCACCAATTTGAAAGGTACTTTGGCTTATATCACGACTTACTATAATAACCTCAAATCTGTTTACTAAAACAGACCAGTCCTTCATTTTTAAATGCTTTCACAGCCTCTTTTATGATGAAATCATCTGGTTTTTTTCAGAAGGGTGTAGGGTTTTACCTGGCCCTGAACCCCAGTGCATTTAAAAACTAAGTGCTGTGTAATTGTCCTAATTAAAGCCATTAGACTCCAACTCCAAAGGTTAAACACTGAGGCCTCTGAAGAAAGACCTAAAATGTTGCAGGTTTAACCTGTCTCCTGAAACTCATTGAACCTAATCATGATCTAATGTCATCGACTCATCATCATCATTATTAAACAGTTCTGGTTTCTTCTGGCCTACTTAGGCTGTGGAGCAAAAACAATCCACCGGTAGAAAATGAAGTCTGAGCACATTCTTGTTCTGAGGTTGATATGTTTTAGAAGATAAACAAAGCTCTGTGTCTCTTCTTGTAAAGAGAAGCAGATAAAATCTAATCTACCAACCTTTTATAATGCTGAAAAAGACAGCTCTTTGTACTGATGCCCAATTTAATTTCAGAAAAAACACAGTGAAACTACCCTGCTCTGGTATGAAATTAGTAGGACATGAGATTTTTTTCCCCGTCTTCTTCTGACAACCCACAATGAATAGAAACAATTTTATAAAAAAGACACACACACACACACAGAGAGCAAATGACCAGAACCACTATAAAAATTATAATTATAATTATAATTATATTATATATTTGCTCTATACAACTGAGAACTACTGAGTAGTACTGAGACCACTACTGTTTTGGTGCAGTTAAACTAACTAAACAATAAAACACAGAAGTGCATGCATACACGCACCTGTCATCCATTTCCACTCTCTTCATGCTGTGAAGGTGTAACACAGCGAGGATGATGGCTACCAGGAAGATGACGATGCAGCACACACACACGCTGATGTAGAAAACTCGTGTGGATGTGGTGGGAGCATTTGAACTGCTCGCTAAGACCAAAAGAGGGGAGTGTGTTTACAAGAGCTGAGTGAAGACTATCTCACTGTAGAACCACATTCACTAAAAAGGCCAAATAATAAATCGGAAATACTCACGGTCTATTCTCTGTATGGTTGTGTTTGGGAATGGCAGAGTTTTGGGGGGCTCTGGTTGCTCAATTCCTGTAAAGTAAGTCAATGAGGTGAAGGATCAGCAAAGTGTAAGGCATATATCAGTTTACTGTCTGTATATGTATGTGTGTGTGTGTGTGTATATATATATATATATATATATATATATATATATATATATATAT